AAATAAGAAATTTTACTGAGATTTCCTAGCTTTCCAAAAACAGTTTTAAAATCAATTTGGCAAAACACCCCTGTTAAAGATTTTAGGTTAAGACTACAAAGTTTCTAGGAATGCAGCCACATCTCTGCAACATTATTAAAAACATCATATACTAAGCATTTAATATAGTGGGGTTTTTTTATCTTGCAGACACTTGGTAAATGATTGCTAACTCATTTAGCAGGGTTATAAAGGAAGTGTAAATAGTTACAAACTATCTCTTGGAAAATGTAATGTGCCCTGGTCATTCAGGACTTTGTCCAACCTTAGAGTATGAGCTATACAAGGACTCAACACTTGTTCAAACAACTTTTGCCTCCCAGGGAAGTTTATATTTATCAAGGCATGCTGCACTCTGCACAAATAGTCACACAGGATACTTTGGAATGTGCCTGGCAAGACAACATGGCCGTGCATCTGCTGTAACCCAGTGTTACATTTTCAAAGGCCTCTTGTCCCTCAGTGAACTGTAAGAGATGTGCGTGGCATGAGAAGGAGGAAGTGGTGAATGGATGTAGTACCAGGATGTGTCTGAGAGGAATATAAAGAGTCGTTATTATCCTCTCCTCTGGTTGTCGCGGCAGGACTTCCTAGGGGTAGAAAACAGTGGAGGACTTTTGTTTTTTAAAAGAGTGGATTGATCTTAAAAAGTACTCAAATTTTTAATACTGATAATGTTTTTCATGGGCCAGCAATTGAGCATGTTGTTTGACTATAGGTCTTCAAAAGTAAAGCAACTAATAATTTAGACCGAGATCAGCAAACTTTTTCTGTATAGGACCAGATAATAAGTATTTCAGATTTTGCAGACCCTAGGTCTCTGTCACAGCTCTTCAACTCTGCCATTGTAGTGCAAAAGCATCCATAAACGATGTAAATGATACAAGGAAATATTTTTTAAATACCTGTTTTAAACATCTTTTAGAAACTTAAAATATATAAATGTACGTTGCCTTGCCACCTTTTGATGAAGGTCCAAGGCTTTTTCTTTTTTTTCTTTTAAAGATTTTATTGAGGAATTGGGGGAGGGAGCAGCGCTGGGGAATCAGGGAAGGGGAACAGACAAGTTGCTGTCCTTTTGTTCTTCAGTCTAGTTGTGGAGGATGTAGCTTCACTGGCCCATGTTGGTATTGTGATCACTGCACTCTTCCCAGCTGAGGCAGATCTGTCGCCAGGCATTGGACGACCACTCACTGTAGCTCATGCCAGTTGCTCACGCTGGGTGCCGGCCAGCCACTCACAGTAGCTTAAGGCAGCCCCACTGCAGCCTACACCATCGCGGGTGACTCACGGCAGGCAGCCCAGCTCCAGGTCAAGCCGTTGTTCACCATCTTAGCTGTAGAGGGCACAGCGTCACTGGCCCATGTGAGATACAATGGTTTGGGTAGTTAGATACATGGGTAGCAGCTGGTGCTACCCTGCTGCTCAAAGCTTGCGCTCCCAAGCCAACTCTTAACCAATGAGCCACTCAGCCGGCCCAAGGCTTTTACTTAGCATTGGGATCTTTTCATTAGAATTATGCTTTATCTATCTTGATAAATTACAGCCATATGCATCATCTACATTTCCCAGTGTATTTCTTTAAATTGAGAACTTAGCCACATGCAAAACAATATCAATGAAGAATCCTTCTAGATTTTTATACTTTTGAAAAATGGATATTTTACAGTTGTGCTTACCCTGATTCAACAGTAATTTTTAGCAAATTGAGCCTTTTTTTAAAGCATTCCACNGGCAGTGTCACTGGCCCTCATATGTGGGATCCGAACCGGGGCCCTCTGGCATCCCAAGCGAGTTCTTAACCATCGCGCCACTCGGCCGGCCCCCAAGCCAACTCTTAACCAATGAGCCACTCAGCCGGCCCAAGGCTTTTACTTAGCATTGGGATCTTCTCATTAGAATTATGCTTTATCTATCTTGATAAATTACAGCCATACGCATCATCTACATTTCCCAGTGTATTTCTTTAAATTGAGAACTTAGCCACATGCAAAACAATATCAATGAAGAATCCTTCTAGACTTTTATACTTTTGAAAAATGGATATTTTACAGTTGTGCTTACCCTGATTCAACAGTAATTTTTAGCAAATTGAGCCTTTTTTTAAAGCATTCCACTATTGTCCATTCAGTTGTCTTTTAAAATACATTTAACCCTTGGTCACTTTCTAAATGTTAAGCTTTTTTTTTTTTTCAGCTACTAAATATTTGTGAATTCATCTGTCAGATCACTTATTTCTATGGCATAAGGACCTGCAGCAATATGAGAGCCTGGATGGAATGGAGAGAGGGAAGGTGTGGTGGGGTGAGACGCATTGGCAGGGAAGGGTAGGAAGCATCAAAGGCAGACTTGCACCACCGCACAATTCTGCCAGGTGGTAATTCTTTGGATGGGAAAAATCAATAATGGGTTTTCAAGAGAAACAAAGCATATATGAGCGTATAGCCCTACCCTTTAAGGAGGCATGACCTATTTTCCTACAAAATATCTTGAAGTGCTGTTCTAGACAGAATTCTGGGATGTATGGATAGCTCATGGTTTTATCTTAGTATAGGTGTGCAGTTATTCTATTAGATTGTTTCATTTGTTCTTTTATTGAGACTAACAGGAGCACCCATCTCCTGTTTTGTCTGTGAAGCATGTAAAAACTGGCCCAAAAGGATTTCAAGCCCATGTGAGGGTAGACACACTGTGAGTGGTAAGGCATGAGATCTCAGACGGAAGAAGCAAAAGGTCTTAAAACATCAAGGGGATTTAGAATTCTTCACTCAACACATATTGAGCGTCTTCCCAGAGAGGACCTGGTCTTAGTCTCAATTCTGTTAAATTATATAAATCATGCTGCACTGCCTATGAACCTATCATGAGTTACATTTTTCTCCTGTAAGTATTTCACTGACTTTCTCCTGCTTCTAGGCCAACACATATGAAAAGTACTGGCCATTTTACCAGAAGCATGGAGGCCATTATTTTCCCAAAGATCATTTGAAAAAGGCTGTTGCTGAAATTGAAGAGATGTGCAATATTTTAAAAATGGAAGGAGTGACAGTGAAGAGGCCTGACCCCATTGACTGGTCGTTAAAGTATAAAACTCCTGATTTTGAGTCTACGGGTAAGCGATATCAGATACCTAAACTGCTAGTGTCTTAATTTTTAATTTCTTAATATGTAAGGAGAAAACTGTTCATTTCTCAACAATTCCTTTGTTTTAATAATCCTTCAAAACTTTAAAGATTATTTAGAAACAGTTTGGTTCTTTTGATATGATTAAGATGTACACATTCAAAACTCCACTGTAAATCTGAAATCTCGGCCAAAGAAGCTGTTTTTTAAACTTTATGGTAATTTTTTTTATATAAAAACAGTGGATTCTATTACATTTTCCTCAAGAACAGAAATTAAGAGAGGAACAGAAACATTCCCATGTTATTTTTTTTAACTGACACTGCTATAAGATTGTTCTTATGCCTGAGTTTAGTGTTCTAATTCATAGTTCTAGAAGTGATTCTTGGCCCAATTTTTATCTGGTGCTACTGATGTTCCCTGAAGAACTCTGTTTCTGTGTAGCAAGAAAAGCTTATAAAAGGTGAAAGCTTGGCAGTTCAAGACCACTTTGAACAAGGACCTTATTGTTTCTTTCTTTTTCTTTTTTCTCTTTTTTTTCCTGTTTGGCTTCAGCATCCTCACACAAAATTCATGTTAACTATCTAGTATATATCATTAAATATTTTTTCCATTTGCACATAGTTATATACATTCACACGTACAGATGTTCTGTAATTTTTTTTTTTTTACCGAGAAATGGGATCATAATATGTAGACACCACTGTCTTGGAAATGAGCATTACTGAGGTTGTTGTGGAACTTTTGGGTCGGACAGGTTTATATGGCGCGATGCCTCGAGACATCCTGATAGTTGTGGGGAATGAGATTATCGAGGCTCCGATGGCGTGGCGCGCTCGCTTCTTTGAGTACCGCGCATACCGATCCATTATCAAAGACTACTTCCACCGTGGCGCCAAGTGGACAACGGCTCCTAAGCCCACGATGGCTGATGAACTTTATGACCAGGTAAGTCCCTAATTATAGTTGAGCATATTAGTAACTTTTCTAAATGATCCACAGAAAGTGAGCTGGAGATTCTGATACGTTGTATTTGTTAATGCGTTTCAGAAACTGAGAGCATCACCTACTTTTTTAAAAAACGGTTTTATGATGAAGAGTAAATGATATTGTGAAACTAATAGTAATAGTAATAATAGCTAACACTTATTTGGTGCTTATTTATGTGCCAGGTCCTGAGCTCAGTGCTTTATTTACATCCTTAGTTCTGTTTATACTTCATAACAACCCCATGAGGGAGTAGTATCATTCCATTATAGGGAGGAAAACTTGCCTAAAAGCACACAGTTATTCATTACTGGAGACAGAAAAGTCTCTAGGCTGAACTCCATTCTCTTCTTTTAGAAAAAAGAGTTTGGTCTACAAGCCAACTTCACAGTAAACAGAAGTATATTATTAGATCACTTACTATTTGATCATTTATAGAAAGAATCAAAAAATCAAAATGTCTTCTAGGGGTTTAAAGACAGAAATAAATAATAAACTCATTCCACCACACCCAATCAAATTTGGCAGGGGTAGCATGGCATCTCATTTTTATGGTAAGAGTTAGGCTCAGGACCAAATGCCTTTTCTAAAAGAACAGAATGACTTCATCCTGTTGACTTTCAATATTGTAGGTAGCTACATAAATCAGTATATGGGTCACGGAATATTTTCAGAATCATTACTGCCTCTGTACCGCTTGCTTCTACGTATCAGGAAATTACTGTCATGCCTAGTTTTTAAATTTTTTGTTGTTGACTTCTTTTTGGTTTGGTTAGCATGGGCCTACATCTTCCATGCATGTTCTAGTCTAGAACAGGGTAGCAGTATTTTGGGAAATGATGACGTTAAACTAATTTTCTTAGTAATGAATGTCCTATAAATAATTTCCACATGAACCAATGCATTGTGTGTGTTCATTCTTGTTCCACTTAGGATTACCCCATTTATTCTGTAGAAGACAGACACAAATTGGCTGCTCAGGGAAAATTTGTGACAACTGAGTTCGAGCCATGCTTTGATGCTGCTGACTTCATTCGAGCTGGAAGAGATATTTTTGCACAGAGAAGCCAGGTTGATAAAAGCTGCCTCTGAAATTTCGCACTTTATTGCTGTCTTTTTTTTATTTCCAAATTCAAATATTTTCATCCTAATTATTTTTAGTTATCTAAATGTAGAACCAAATCTTTATCGCTCTACGTCTTCCTTTTATTTTCAGGTTACAAACTCCCTAGGCATTGAATGGATGCGTAGGCATCTTGCTCCAGACTACAGAGTACATATCATCTCCTTTAAAGATCCCAACCCAATGCATATTGATGCCACCTTCAATATCATTGGACCTGGTCTTGTGCTTTCCAACCCTGACCGACCATGTCACCAGGTAAGGGAGCTCTTAGGACTCTGGAAGAGTAATAGAGTCTGGCAACTGAAGCAATTGCCATCTTTATTGTAAGTACCTCCATGCTTCCTAATGGTTCTAAATGACAGATTCAGCAATGTTCAACATTCTTATGATAAAAAATTGGATTGCTTATGTTACATTAAATACAAGATGTCTAACACTCAGAAATATAAAGTGTAGGGTCATCAGACTTTGACCTTGGCTGCCTGCTGCTGCCAAAGCGTCAAGTTTGTGCTTTTGTGTATGCTTTTGTCAGAGTGGTATTACAGTAATTCCACCTTACCTTTGGGGAGATACGTTCTAAGACCCCCTGTGGTTGCCTAAAACCTGCATAGTACAGAACCCTATATATACTATGTTTTTTCCTGTACATACTCATATTATACATACCTATAATAAAGTTTGTAAGTTGGGCACAGTAAGAGATTAACAACTACTAATAAAATAGAACAATTATAATGACATAATAAAAGTTAGGTGAATGTGGTCTCTCTCTTTCTCTCTCTCAAAATACCTGGAATTTTCCATTTAATATTTTCAGACCGTGGTTGATCACAGGTAACTGAAACTGCAAAAAAGCAATGCTATGAATAAGGGGAATTACTGTATCTCATAACTTGCAGCCAAGGTTCCACAACAGCTGAATTGCAAACAAGATGATCCCTGCATGTCTGGGGCAATGCCATTAGGCAGTGGGTATCTTCCCTGTCCAGTGGGTCAGGCCTACTTTGGCCACCCCACCCTGCAGGAGGAGCAGAGCCGCTGCACTGCAGCTGGTGTGTCCCCGTCACTTCCACCTGTTGCCCCCTACTTCCAGTTGGGTGGTGCATGATTTTGTGTTATTTACCAGGCTGTGGTACACCTTTCTAAAATCCCTGTTTTACCCTGTGACTCTTCATTTTCGTCCCATATATTTAAAGCCCGTGATCAAGATTACTTATTCATTTCATTTGAATATAAGTCATTGAAAATACTAAGTGGGAATGTGAACATAGGGATGGCTGAGTTACAATAAATAGGTTACTAAAGACAGTTAGGGTTCTTTGGGAATACAACCCTAACATGTGTCTTTAGACCACGGACATGGATACAGAGTGATGGACTATGAAGTGGATGCACGATGGGTTTGACACAGTCACATGCAGGGGTCATCTTGTTTGCAATTCAGCTGCAGTGGAACCTTGGCTGCAAGTTATAAGATATAGTAATTCCCCCTTATCCATGGTTTTCTAATAACTAAAATAGGTAATATTTTCATTTTCTTCATTGAGAATTTCTCAAGGAAAGTATCTTTGGTTATTTATTTATTTTATTGGTTTCAGGTGATCTTTGGTATTTTAAAATCTCTGAAACCTGAGAAAAGCACAAGAATATTTTTAAAAGCTTTACCATTCCTGTTGCTTTTTAACTTTAATCTGATAATCTGGGGCTTTTACGTACATTTTTAATTAGGATTCACAGAAATTTTTAACTTTTTTATGTTGACAGTTGAGAAAACAGCTTCTCAAAAAGAATTATTAATCATAAGGGCTATCAGAGACAAAGAGTGGTAAGAATAATATATATAGATTTAAGCCTCTTTGGTTTTTGTTTTCCTTTTTGATCTTGCAGATTGATCTTTTCAAGAAAGCAGGATGGACCATAGTTACTCCTCCAACACCGGTTATCCCAGATGGTACGTTTACTTTTATATACTCAGAGATTAAAAGTGATTTCTTCAGTAACCAACGATCTTTCCCCCATAGACAGCAGCCCAAATTTTAGTAATTTAAAGAAAATATTTCCCTGATAAGAAGTAAACTGGTGCTTGGGACTACGGATTCTAGAACAAGACTGGACTTGTGTTCACAACCTCTCCTTCCATAGAAAATGAGAGTGAGAAGGTGGGAAAAATCAGTATAAAATAACATCATAAAACAAGAAATGACTTTTTAAAGAAAACAAGGTGAAATCCAAATGTGTAACGAGTATAGATTGACTCATAACATTTATAGATAAACTGTCTTAAGACTAAAATAAAATTTTGCAGGGGAAGTGAACCACTGAAAGAATTGAACTGTCACTTTAATATTCTTCGCTTTCAAATCCTCGCTTTAAACAAAAACGATAGCAGACATGACTTAAAAGTTGTTGCTATTTTTAGATCACCCACTATGGATGTCATCCAAATGGCTTTCCATGAATGTCTTAATGCTGGATGAAAAACGCGTTATGGTGGATGCCAATGAAGTCCCGATTCAAAAGATGTTTGAAAAGCTGGGTATGTACAATACATGAAACACGTGGTCATACATGGAAATATTAAACAAGAAGAACTGAAGAAATGACATGCTACAATAGGTCTGATGTATGCTTTATCTAATTGCTTTTCTGTTCCGTTTAGAGTTACTATTTCGTAGATAAACAATATTTTTGTTTTCAACAATCGTAATCTCAGAAGGTTGGAGGTGCATCCCAGGCACCCCTTAGCAACCGTCTTCTATGACTTATCCAACCTCCTGGTGCCCATGTGTGGAGAACTATGTCTTTGTAGATGAGCATATCGATTATTCAGCCTTTCCACAAATAAGGAATTGTTGAGGGTCCTTTAAAGTAATTTAATTGTCATTACATATTTTAAAGGTACAGATACAGAAGTGACTTATATGTGTGATAAGCATAGCAAACAAAATAATAGAATGCAATAGAGGGTGTCAGTAAATCATTCAACTTTGAACTAAAAAGCAGAACTGGCTTTTATTTGGGTGGGAATTTAGTTATCTTGATATTCAAAAATTAGGCCGGTTATTCTAATACTATTGAGAAAATGTTGAAAGAAAGGATTTTCATATGGCTATTATATAGAGCAGAGATGTATGTATGATGATCACTCTTAATATACTTGGCGCATCCTAAGTGTCAAATAAAGCCTGGTAGTACACATGTTGTAATTGAGTCATGCTTTCATTTATGTCTTATATTTCAGGTGTACTGCCCAGAAAAAATTATTTGACCCTTTGACACATCTCTCTTTAATGTAGTATCAGTTCAAAAGGATTGGCCTTTCAGATTTAGGTTGAGCACAGTCTAATGATTTAACCCCTAATGCTGTGCTACCTTTTGGGGTTTTTTTTGTTGTTGTTGGTGGTGGGGTTTTTTTTGGGGGAGGGGGCTTTCATTAAATAACCTAATTGCTTAGATTCCATTTCTTTGTCCATTAAGATTTTATTGTTTCTCAACTTAAAATATTGAGTACCGAAGATCTGATTTATCATTTTACTTATAATAAATTCTTTTTAGGCACAGGGAACTTGTTAAAGCAAACATTTTCAAGCAACTGAATTCTCTCCAATTCAGGATTAATATGGATCTAGCAATCTGAATGAGATAAAAACATCTATCATGAACCATATGCTTGTGATTAAAAGCCCACTTCTTATTCCAAGCCCACTCCTTACCACTGTCCAATCCCTATTCTTATTCTTCAGAGCCCTGCTCAGTCTCACTTTCTCAGGAAAGTCTTTCTGGTTGGCTCCTACTGCCTTCCTCTCCCTCGGTATGTATAGCAAAGGAAACCTTAGTGATCCTGTAGCTTATCTTTCTCCTCCAAATAATGGGCTCCTTGAGGGAAGAGAATAGATTTTCTTTTAAAAACCCCGTCATGCCAAACACAACAATTTTTACTAAATACTGTTGGATGACTGGACCATGCACTCTCATAGCCACGTCAATACAAATAGTGCCAGATCAAACTAATTAATTGTCTGAGTAGCTTTGGTACCTGATGCCGATATAGCCCAGATATTAAAATATAAGCCCTGTTCCTTTGTTTGCTTAAGGTGGCCTGGTAAAGCTAGTTGTGTCAGATAAATTCTGTTTACATGTGAGTAGGTAATAGGTAGTCAACTTTTCAGGTTGGCTAAATTATACTTCTCCTCCTAAATTGATGTGGTAAAATTAGAAACAGTCTGACAAAATAGTTAAAGCATAATTCTAAAAGGCCTTGAAGTATCAGTGCTTGATCGTTTTTTGAAATTTGACAAACACATCTGCTCACCCTACCTATTGACTTGTGAATAGTCAACAGCACAAAATAGACTTCACAGTCTCTTCTGACTTTTTAGTGAAGGTTTTTATATTAGCAGTGGACTAGAGCAGATGAAATAAAATTGATGAAAATAATACTGAAAGACTGTCCTGGGTTGGGGTAGACTTAAGGATTCGAACCACAGGATTCCTACCCATCTTTAGGCTTTACTTTCTATAGGAGATTCTTCATGTGCGTCCATCTAACTGGTCACATCTCTCTCTCTTTCAATGCAGGTATCAGCACCATTAAGGTTAACATTCGTAATGCCAATTCCCTGGGAGGAGGCTTCCACTGCTGGACCTGTGATGTCAGGCGCCGAGGCACCCTCCAGTCCTACTTTGACTGACCATGCCTGATGGAGCTTGTGGCTTGGCCCAAATAAACCTAGGAAGCGTAGGGACACGGTTCATTCTCCTGCTTTAAAAAATGCATGAACTGTAGGGCTTTAAACAATCATATCCTTAACAGGGGTCTTCTGCCTGATTTATGTGTATTCCTTTGATTTAAGGGAAATAACTTGTGCTAGGTCTTACTCTGTACTCCTAAATTTATTTGCTATTTGGCTTCAAGTATAAAAATTTGGTGAATCTATACCAAGAAAAAAATTAATTCGAGTAACTTGGCCGCTAATATTTAACCATCTACCTCTGTTTTTAATTTTCTTACCAAAAGGCAGCTTGAACTGTTGGTCCTAATCTTCATTTTTTTTTTTTTTTTACTTTTTTGCTAGACTTGTGAATATTTGTATCACTCCTTTTTTTCTGAATGAGAGAAAGACTTAGGATGTACACGAATCTTAAGTAGAACCAGATAATTGTCTCTTTTTCTAATAAGTAATTTTGGTAATTTTTGTTTTTTAAAAAATAACCTAGACTATACAAACATTTAAGTGAATTTTCCATAAATTTTTTTAATATTCTCATCTCAGCACTGGTGATATTTGCTACTAAAAAACCTCTTCATTCAACTTACCTCATTTCAAGTGATTTATTTTAATCTTTTTCTTCTCTGTCTAAAATTTTACAGAAATAGTTAGTGCAATAGGATATAACTATCAGTTCCCATTTCTAAATTTTGATGTTTGGTATCTAGTGGATACACTGCATGTTCAGTAATCTAAGATTTGTTTACAGATATGCAAATTATTTAAAGTGCAAACTTTAAAAGCATTAAAAAAACTAATGGAGGTAAAACCTACATGTGATGTGAAGTAATTTTAATGCTGAATACTGTACATGTATTTTTATTCTAATAAACGTTTGTGTTACAGAATGGATTGTATCAGAGTTTGGCATCAGTCTAATTGTTTTGAGCATAAGTAAATTATAGAATGTAATGTAGCTCTTGGGACAGAACTCAGATGCTCTGAAATCATCAATATATTTGTCCCTAGTAGATAAAATTTTAAACCTAATACTTGTATTTAGAAATGTTTAGCAAAATCAAATTTTATTAATTTACTCATTCAAAAATGTCTGAATGTATTCTGAATATAAGGGACACATCCTAGGCCTCAGAAAAGAGGCTCCATTCTCTAGATACTAAATGTTTTGACTCATGATAAATCTGGGGGGCAGGGGAGATGTACTTGAAAGTGAGTCTTTGGTTTTGACCATGCCCTTGCCAACACCTTTAACTCCTTTGTATCCTGGTATCCTTTTTCATCCTCCACAGAAACACCTACACTTGGACATAATCCTGCTTAAGAAATCTATACAACCATGTGGACCGGTGCACACTTGGGGTATATAGTCCCAGACCTAAATGCTACTTGGTAATTCTGTTACATACCCCTCCACATTCTCCTCAGTGGCTATTCGAAACCTTCACTGTGCTCTCTCACCTGATCATATTATTTCATTTTTCTCAGAGAAAATAGAGGCCATCAGGTAACAGTTCCCTCAGCTTTTCTGCTCCAATCCCATGCAGATTTATCTGCATTTGCCTTTTCTGGTTAAAGTTCTTTCTCTCCTTGCTTTTACTAGTTAAGCTTCTAAAGAGAAAAGTCAGAACTTCATCTCATCACTTGCCTTTAATTCTCAACCCTCTACAAAGAGACACTTCCCTCACTGCAGCAGAAAAAGGGGCGAACCTTCTGACCAGATCTAATCCACACAACTGTCCTTTGATTCTAATCTCTCTCCTCTTTCAGGAAATTACTACATCAATTATCACATTTTTTATAACTCTAGCCTATGTGTGTGTGTGTTTTCCCTCAGCAAATAATCATGCTTAAAATAAAGTTCAAACAAAAACAATTTCTCTGGCAGCTTCATTTTCCTTTAGAGCTAAGCTCCCTGAAAGAATACATCTACTATCTCTCCACTGTTTCACCTTTTATTTATTCCTCAACCTCCTACTAGCTGATTTCTACCTTATCACTGCAAAGTACTGATGCTATCTTTGACGTGACCTCTCCAGTGTCATTTCCAGCAGATACTATTCAGGCCTTATTGATCATTCCTTTGATTGTCTCTCCTCTTTTAGGTTTCTGTGATACCACTTTCTCCTGTCTCTTCCTATTGATTTTCAGACTCCTTCACTGGATTGTCTTCTTCCTGCCCTTAAGAGGTGGGTGTTGACAGAATCCTGTCATTGGGCCTTTTCTCCCCTCCTAGATCCCCCTGGGTGGTCACATCTGTGCATAGGTCTTCCCCTCCCACATTTCCACTAAGAACTCACGGGCCACGTGGAAGGGGAGGCCCTATGCCCAGACCTCCTAGTCTTGATCTTCTCCTAAGCTCCAGGTCCTTTTCCCAACTGTCTGTGGACATTATCTGGCTGTGCAAAGGCATTGCAGGCTCAACACAATATCACCACTGACTCTGTTGGCCAAGCCATCCTGGATTCTTCCCTCTTCCTCATTTTGTCCCTTCTGTTAGCCTTTTGCATTGTTATTTAACAAGACAATTATTTCAACAAAGGTGGCCCAATTGAATGACTTAATAAAGTCTATTTTTAGATCCTATGACACTACTCTTAGGTATTCTGTTTTGTCAAGGTTTTGTAGGAAAACAGAAGCAGCCTAGTGTCCTCCACACAGCTGCTACTCATTTTCTTTTCTAGCCATCCTCCACCACTCCTGCAACCCAATGGCTTCTCTGTGACCTGTAGCAGGCGGAAGGCACACCATCTGCTGCTACAGATGCCGGGTGTCCAAAGAACATGCCAACAACTTCAGGTAATCACCCTTCCTAAGGAACACCACGTCTCTGTAATTCCCTGTGTAGAGGAAACAGCTACGTGTATTAAGATGAACCATGGACATAAAATAATGAACTTAATTTTAAATAAAAATACCAAACATTGACATTGTAGGGCAAGTGTAGTTCCCAGTAAAAAGCATTCCTTTCAAGAATAGCCTTCAAAAATAAAGCTCATGGATCTGACCACTATAGTGTGTTAACTTGTATCTACATAGGAATACCATCCAATAGTTCAGGGGAATGTAAAATGACACTACCTCAGATTTTTTTGGTCAACTTTTTGGATGCATAGGTTCTTTTGAGAAAATAATATTAAAAAAGTGATTCCCATCACTTAGTGCACTAACAGTATCAGTTAAGTAAGGTTTGATTGTTAAAGACTCAGGACCCAAAATGGCAATGCTTATAAATCTACAGTTTATCGCAGGAAAAGGACACAATAGAGCAACAGCATTAAAGTAAGGATATGCATCACAGCCAAAGGCTGCCTCACAACAAAGGGTCCAGAGCAGCCAAGCCCAAGCACCATTTTGTTATCCTTTCAGGATGCAGTCCACCACTCCACCCTGCCATCCCCAAGTTTTACAGTCTGTGCAAGACCTTGGATCTTTGGGGAGTTATAGTCAATCATCCCCAATCAGTCATATGATTTATGATCTTAGTAAGCTCGCCTTTAACTTGACCCTCATGTTCTGAGATAATCATAATGCCAATATAGTGTATTAGGACATTGTCCAATTGTACTAGATCTAGGTCCCACCTAACCAGACTGAAAATACACGGGGAAGTTCAAGTATCTTTGAGGCGATACAGTAAATACGTATTATAGACTATAACACATGAATGCCAATTGTTGTTCCTCTCGCTGATGGCTAATAATGAGAACAACACATTTTCTGTGGGATTCCATGGGGTGAACTGACCCACTTCTTGTGATCTGTCTCTGTGGATAGCAGGTTTCTGCTTCCTATACCTTGTTTTCTAGATAAGCTATCACTCCTGCATCAACTGTCTTCCAAAAATTTGTGGACAGCTCTCATTGTTTCCTCTCTTCCCTTCGCTTAGTCCTTGTGGGTTTTTACCTTGTTATTCTGCTGCTATCACTTTAGGGCAGTTTCCAGGGAAAGTAAAGATAAATGTTTATCTTTAATCCACTTCAGTCACTAAATGTATGGAAGTTTTTAGATCGTTAATTCTAAGTAGCATGAAAAAGCAGGAAACTGAGAGTGCCCCCAAAATCTCTATGAGATTTTATAGGAAGTTGGGGAACCCACAGCTTAGTCTCTTCAGACTCTCAGGATGTAAAGACCCAAAGCACATATAAAAACACCAAAAAAATAAAAATTAAAAAAATAAATAAACCAAGGTTGGGAGTAGGGCGAGGTAAATAAAGTACTCACTTTGGGCACAAAATTTAGGGGGTCCAAAAACCTCAGTAATCCAGATAAATAATACTTTAATGCAGTCTTACGAATTAAAATTAATAAATTTAATGAAAAACCCATGATGAGCAAAATACCGAATTTTAAAGACAGGATCAGTAGTGCTGATGTTTCTTTTGCCTCAGGCTCCAATATGGCTGTGTGCAACACCACTGCACACAAGGATTAAGGTGAAGGGGAAGTAAATCATCTCCTGCACTGTCCACAGCCCAGCTTCAAGTCACCTGGCTAGCCTAGAAAAGTCTCTAGCCTGGGATTGGATGAAGATGATACCTGATGGCGGGCACTCCCAGGTGCCTTAAAAAGTCAAAGTTCTTTGAAGAAAGATAACATCCACCTAGGCTTCAAACTATTTCTAAAAATAAAATTTTATATACAAATCCTACACACAACCGAAGATAGACAGATGCAGGAGGAGAAAAGACCTCTTCAGCAAAACAACATGCAATAGAAACATATCCACAGGGACTCCCGATATCAAATTATCAGACACGGACTAAAAAGTGTCATTCCACAAAGAAACCCAATACCCATTAGCAGTCACTCCCCATTTTCTTCCAGGCTCTAGGCCTTCACTAATCTACTTTCTGTCTCTATAAATCTGTCTATTCTGGACATTTCACAGAAATGGAATCATACAATATGTGGTCTTTTGTTATGGGCTTCTTTCACTCAGCAAAATGTTTTCAAGTTTCATTTATTTTGTAACTTTTATCAGTACTTCATTCCTTTTATGGCTGAACAAAAGTCCATTGTATGGGTAGTCCACATTTTATTTGTGGATTATTTCCAACATGTGGGTTATTTCCACATTTCGGCAATTATGAATAATGCTGCTATGGACATTGGGGTACAAGTTTTTGTGTGGACACATGCTTTCATTTCTCTTGGGTACAGGAGTGGAATTGCTGGGTCACATAGTAACTCCACGTATGACTTACAGAAAAAAAGGTTACATTAAAAAAAATAAAAATAAACCCACTAATATACCAAATCAGTGTATGAGTTGTAAGATTCATTTGTACAATCATCTGTACAATTGTATTATGGTTAAAAAAAGACAATGAAAACAATCTAAGTGAAAAGTAGTTCACATGCAAAGACAGACTGAAGAGATTAGGACTTAGTCTAGAAGGAGGAAAGCTGAGGAAGTTAAAAATCAAAATTTTCAAAGTTAAATTTTGACCAATTGGTTAACTTCCAATTTATTTAATCATTTTCAAAACACCTCAATAAGAGTACAGTCTTGATTTTAAATAAGGTAGTTTAAGGACCTAATAACAAAGTAACATGGGAAGCATGAACTCTGTTGTTTTTACAAGAAAATAGTGAACATATATGAATGTTAATACCTATTATTGAGAACCTACTGCACGTTAGGCATAATCCTAGCCACAAAACATACTTTATCTCATTTGACCTTTCTAACAAGCTTCAAGATAGATATTATTTTTCTTATTAAAAAAGAAAGAAAATAAAGGTTATTGCTCATGTTCAAATCTCTTCTATTTGAACAAAAATTTCTCTCTTAAATCACATAATTCCCCAGCTATTATACATCTTATTTCTCACTCCCCCATTTTCAGAGTGAAATTTCCACTTCAATCCACTTATACCACAAGTTTGCCCCACAGCATTGTCAGAAACATTAACAAAAAATTCAGAGTCCCAGTGGCCACTGTCTAAACTTTCTCTTGAAACACTCTTCCCTTGGTTCATCCTCTAGAGCAGGGTTCAGCAAATTGTGGTCTGCAGGCCAAATCTGAAGTGCCTCCTGCTTTTAACATCCTGTGAGCTAAAGCTAGTTTTTGCATTCTTTAATAGTTGAAAAAAATCCAAAGAAGAATATTTCATGACACATGAAGATTACATGGAATTTACATTTCAGTGTCCATAGATAAGGTTTTACTGGGACACAGACACATTCATTCATTTACATATTGTCTTGTGGTTGCTTTTGTGTTGTAATGGCAGAATTGAGTAGCCATGATAGAGACCTTATGTGGTGCTATCATTGCTTCACACCACTGCTTGCCACTGTGAATCATGCTGTTATAGTTATAACTTGACAGCGTTTCAAGTGCCTTATGTATCACTGTATCTGTAGTATTTTTTGTTTTATTGTCGGTGTATACCCATCACGTCAAAACAAGAAAAACAGACTTCAAACATCATGCTTCTAAGGCACAGTGGAGAGTGGATTATTTTGATCAAATTAGATGGCAAAGCATTGTGTTTATTATACAGTAACATTATATAGCTGTGCTAAAAAAATACAATATATGTTGACATTACCAAACTAAGCACTGACCACAATATTCCCAACTCACAGGAGAGAAATGGTCAGAAAAATTTTAAATGGAATATCTCATAAAAATTTTTTTAAATAAAATAAAAATGGGATATCTCATCACAGCAAAATTTCTCCACAAAAATAAAAAATGACAATAAGGATGCAATTAAAGTAAGTTTTCTACTGGCTCATTTGTTAGCCAAGCAAGGAAAGCCACTGACTTATGGTGAGTTAATTAAATCATGTTTAATTGCAGTAGGTGAAGAAATGTGTCCAGAAAAAACAAACTTGTGGGTAGTAGACTTGTTGGGGTTATCAATTTGTGAGGGGTGTAAATGTCTAACCATCATGTTGTTTTGTACACATGAAACTAATACAAAAAATTTTTTTAACTTGTTAAAAACTATTAGCTCTTTGGTGTGAAGAGTTGCTATAAGAGTTGAGGACATTGGGAGCAATATCAATAGTTAATGAAACAAGAAGGCAAATTATTTTGAATGGTTTTCCCTAGCTCTTGATGGGTCCACAGATATTAACTGATACTGTTCCATTATTGATTATTCTAGGAGTCAGTACTGAGTTTAAAATGACTGAAGAATTGTATCAGTATTCCAACTTGCCCTCCCACAAAGCAGTTCAATGGCTTAGCAATGGTAAACTTTTTATTGCAATTTTTTGAGCTCAGGCTGAGATTGACATTTTTCTGAAAAAGAACTGCCTTCAACTACTATTATCTAACACTAAGTAAATAAATAGCTTTGGAAATTAGCTTTTTCTATAAACTTGATAATGTTTCTTAATAAAGTCGACCTAAAATTACAAGGCAAAACAGAGCTAATGTGCAAAATTCATAGCTTGGTAAAGTCCTTTTGATGACAACTAATGTTTCAATCCCAATCATATCAAGTTGCTTTATACACAGATATATTTTCTAAGCTTGAACTACAATTCCAGCAGTTTTTCTAAACTTCATGCAAGTACAAAGGAATAGTCATTTCAAAATCCATTTAACTGTGCAACTTAGGAGTTTCTACCTAATTTTCAATTTAAAGTGATTAATCTGCAAAGTAATGACATCCTAAAGGTCAACTGTGAAGGGAAGAGCACTTTCTTTTGGTCACTTAAACATTACTGGAAAATGTCATAAAATTTTTCTGACTTTCTTCTCTATTATTTTTTTCTAATTCTTTTATGCTGGAATTGATACCTTTCTTCTTATATTCTCCCAGAAAATGTTTAAACATATAAGACACTTTAATATGCATGAGAACCACCTAGAAGGCTTGCTAAAATGAAGGTTCTTGAGTCCTACAACCAGAGATTCTGATGTAGTAGGTGGTCGCAGACCGTTTTAAAAGAAGTACTGACATAGAACATACCACATTGCAATTTGTATTATAATTTTTATGCACAGGTTATATCTTCTTTGTAAACTTCCTGAAGTCAGGGACTATTTTTAAAAATTAGTTTCTAAGTCTTCCTTGCCACCTCACACTTAGTAGGTACTCCAAAGATGTTATATAGTTAAAAAGGGAAGGGAGGGAGGGAGAAAGGGAGGAAGGAAAGAAGTGGATTCATGTCATGCCAGTTTTATCCTGATCAACAGTATTTATTGTAAGCCATAGAGTTTCATGAGGTGGTCTTGCTATACTTATGTTTTTCATAATAAGTACCAGGTGGGTACTAGACTAGTCAGGAGGATCACCTCTTAAATTATATAAATGTCTAACCACTATGCTGAAATTAATATAAAATAATATTGAATGTTAACTGTAAGTGAAAACTTTTTAAAGGGGGGGGGGGAATAAAAACTATGCTATAAAAAAAAGAAAACAGTTATAGATATTCAGGCAATGTTCCCAGGGATAAATTAGACCAGTCCAAAAGAACACCATATTTAGGATACTTGCGTTCTAAGAATGCAATGCAAAATTCCCCTGGGGTTCTCATTCTTTTACCTTAGACTTCCCTAAAGGACCAAAGCGCTTATTAAAACTAGTAAGGAAATGCCTACATACATATTCCAGGTACAATACTCAAGTAAATAAGCATATTACATTTCTAATATGCAATATTAGAAGCTTGCATTTCCTCAGTGGGTTAGTGTCTGGTGCTCTGGCTTTTGCCAAAGGCTTAATGAAAGACATGTAGACACACATCACACTTCTTGCAATATCACCAGTCATTAAAGGGACGGATTTTAGAGAGCAGCAGTCTGCAATGTATAGACAATTTAGTAGAAGTGTCTCTGTCTACAAAAAAGAAAGATAATCAAGATCGAGATGCGGGTAGCCACAGATTAAAGAACCATCGATTCTCTGCTCATGAAACAACGCCGGAAGTGGAAGTGGCAAGTTATTTTAGTGTGAGAATGTGAATTTGGAGAATTAGGTAGTCAGGAAGGCCTCAAGTAAAACGAACAGCAGAGATGAGTTGCTATTATTGTGGAAAGCTCTTACAAGAAAATAATTGAAAACTCTTCTATTACCCACAGAGCTTTGGAGACTCTAAACTGTGTTTATGAAAATATCAGAGGTCACCTAATGAAAAAGATGTACACTACTTACCATACCCACAGATGTTTCCTGCTACACTCAGTTTCCGCGGCTACTGTGCCCAAAGCAATCTGCAAGAAAGGTGGCAAAAAAAACCCACAATAAAAATGTATTCTCCTTTCTACTTAAATGAATCCCCAGAGCTATACACTGGTACAATATGGGCCCGTTTACTGGTCTGGGCACTCGTTCGCTTTGGCTTCAGTCAATCCCCCTGGAATTTACTTTACATAGGGTTCCATCCAGGTCCTTCCTAAGGTTCCCCAGTGCAGAGATGGCCCCTTGAACGAGCTCAGGAAAAACTGCTTCATTGCTATTAACACATAGAGTTAACTCAATTTACCTCTTGCAGATAATCACCCGAGGGTCATTTATAAACTTAACTGTCTCATCATATAGACTTTTTATCCAACCACAGAAGCTGAATCAGTTTTTCTCTAAATTATCTATTCCTCTATTGTAAAGCCCCTGTATGGTAGATAGGGATTATTAGCCTAGATTTAAAGACAAGACTGAAGCTCAGTTGGATTAACTGACCTGCTCAAGATCACACGATCAAAGGTGATAAAGACAAGAAACCAGGTCTTCTAACATCCAGTCCAATGCATGTGACACTACATCATTCTCTCTCTAATGAAATGAGCTCTGAGCTGCTAACCTTACCTTCAAAGCTAGCCACTGCAGGAGGTCTATATTATAGAGCACAGGCATCACACAGCTGAAGAAAATAATTATTGGTAAAACCTGTGGGAAGAACTAGAAACAGTTCTATAGTTTTCTCAGTGGGTTCTTTCTTTTAAAACTAGAAAGAGGTGCCATTATGCTTAGTATAGTAAAATTTTAAATTATTAAGGGCCAGCCAAGTGGCTCAGTTGGTTAGGAGCTCACTTAAGAGTGTGAGCTCTGAGCAACAGGGTTGCCAGTTTGATTTTTGGCCTGAGCTGAGCTGCTGCTGAGCTGCCAACAAGTGACAGGATGGCTCAGCTAAAAAATTTTTTTAAATAAAATAAAATTATTCTAGCACCCCTTCTCTTTTTCCTGTGACCTCATTTTTTCTTTTTTTAGTTTCAGGTGTACAAATCAGTGTAATAGTTAGACATTTCACTCCTCACAAAGTGATAACCCCCCTTCCCCATCCATTGCCCCTCTGACATCGTATATATCTATCACAAATTCCATTGACTCTATTCCCTATACTATACTCCATATCCCGTGACTATATATATATATATATATATATATATATATATATATATATATATATGAAATTATAGTTGACATACCATTCTTTTCTCAATCAGTTCTGAGACTGAACTTGCAGTTCTGCGTAAAATTAGCCAGTTTGGTTGGGTATGTTTATACCTTGCTACTCAAGGTGTAATGCATGGATGATGGATGGCTAGCATGGGTATTATTTGGGAGCTTGTAAGAAATGCAGATTTGTAGGCCAGATTCTCACCCCAGATTTGTTGAATCAGAATCTACATTTTAGAAAGACTTCCCAAGTAATTCATGTGCACGCTTAAGTTTGAGAAACACTATGTTAATAACATATTTGCTGATTGATGTGTGGGAATATCATTCTGAAAAGGGGTGTCATACTAGCATGTTCACTAACAACCAAAAAAACAAAACAAAAAGAGGTCTGCTACAGTAAATGAATAGCGTGAAATGACAGATGATCAGTAGGTGAAAAGCTACATGAAGGTCAAAATATTTCACTTAGGCCCATGCTAAATCAGCTAGTCCAAATGACTGTGATATTGAAATCATGCTGGTTATCATATTAAAGCATACAATTTTCAATCCAAATCATTTTCTCAGCAGCATAAGCAAATAATATGGGAAAACTTTCCATTTTCATATCCCCTTTATAATCACAGAACAAGAGAATTTTATCATCTGTAAAGGAGCCTAACATCACCTAACCACACATTTCTCTGCCCTGGCTATATATTAAAATTATCTGAGGAGCTTTTAAAACTTGTGGAAGCCCCGGCTCCAGACGTTGATTTAATTATCTAGGATAGGGGCCTGAGCTCTCCATGATTTAAATATGCAGTCACAGTTGGGAACCACTGAGTACCCAAACCCCTCATTCTATAGATGAGGAAATTGGGGGTTTGTTAAAATGGTACCGATATACTATATTTAAGTATTTGTAAATAAGTATGTAATGATTTCTAAAAGGTGAAATTTGTTGATCAAGTGAAGCTTAACTGGACAATTTTCTCTCTCTCTCTCTCTCTCTCTCTCTCTCTCTCTCTCTCTCTCTCTCTCTCTCTCAGAGCTAAAGGTCTTCATTACGCCTGGCATTAACTCTGTAAACAAGCGTTAACCTTTGGGTTAACCTTTCTAACCATTCTTTGAAATAATTGCCAGCCAACTATTTACCTACAGGAGCTCACTCAGGCAAGTTTCAAAAGAATAAAACTTGAGATAACATAGTTGACTCCCACTTTTAACTTTCTTTAATAGAGTTTTTGTATACATTCAAATAGTTTGAAGAACTACTTTAAATAGCTTACAAAATTAAAGACCAAACGAGGATTAAAATCTGAGAGGCAAACAGGTGTTAAGGTGATGTTTTTCAATGGCGGCACCTTCTTTGACACACCTCTCGCCAATAGTGGGGCCTATTCCCTCCCCTTGACACTAAGCAGGCTTGTGCTTGCTCTAATCCACAGAGCAGGGCTCAGCAAACCTTTTCCGTAGAGCCAGAGTAAATATTTCAGGCTTTGCAGACCATATGGTCTCTGTGGCAACTACTCAACTCTACATCATAGCACAAAAGCAGCCGTAGATGATACGAATGGACATGGCTGTGTTCCAATAACATTTTATTTACAAAGACTGGATTTGGCATGAGGCCGTAGTTTACTGATCCCTACAATTGAGTATGGAAGAAGTGATGCTATGTGACTTCTGGGACTAGGTCATAAAAGGCCCCACCGTTTCCAGCTGGGGCTCCTGGAACACACTCTCAGGAAGCTCCCCCTTGGAACTTACTTCGCCATCATCCTGTGGGAAGCCCAAGCCAGAGAGAGAGGCCCCAGTAGGTGCTCTGCTCAACAGCCCCCGCTGAGCCCAGCCTTCACGTCATCCTAGCCCAGGTGCCAGCATGAGTGAAGAAGCCTCCAGCTGATTCCAATTTCTAGCCTCCAAGTCACCCCTCAGCGCTGAGTCTTCCTGGCTGAGGCTGTGGACACAGTGGAGCAGAGACAAAACATCCCCACCATGTTCTATCGGAATTCTGTGAGAATAAAAGAACTGTTGTTGTTTTCACATTGCTTGGTTTGGAGGTGGTTTATTATGCAGCAATATATAACTAGAACAGAGGCTGATTTAAAAAACTCCAAGAGCACATGTGGAAGGCTAAAAAAATCTCAGAACAGAAAGCAGGAGTTAAAGAATTCCATTGAAAACATTTATGCTTTTTTTTGCAGAACAATTTATGTTCATAAGTCATAAATGTAAAGAAACTTGTAATGTGTTGTTCATATGAATAATAGGAACATTCTAGAGTAATACATGAAACAGTTGCCAATCAATTTGGGATTGTTCTAGTACAATGGCTTTATGGCTGCTTGATATAATAAATCTAGTCATTAAATATTTATTTGATTGAAAATAGTAAGCAACTAGGGTGGGCTAATTTAGTTCAACTGGCAAAACCAGTTTCTGTGTATGTGTAAAACACCAAATGCTCAACTATGCTATGATTTCAGACACCTTATAGGGAATAGTAAACAAAATTTTTTAAGCTAGTCTATACTAGAAAAGCTTTCCAACTTTAAGATACGATCTATACTATTAGTTACATGGAAGTTGTTATAAAATCTAACCTACTAGATCTTCACTAATGCTGAACTTCAGGAATACATTGGTCAACAATTTGGTAACAATTTGGCTATGTGTTTAAACTTCCCTCCTGAACAAGCAAAGCCCTGGAGTGCCATGCCTATGCTGGGGTTCTGGGAGGCTGTGCTGGATATGGGACTGTATCAGGATTGTACTAAGAGATACAGAGTTTAGGGTGAAGCAATTTTGAAAGCATTACTCTTGAGACACAAGTAAAATCAAATCTGGCATAAGAGACAAAAACCAGGCATGAGATAAGGGTACCATCTTAACCCACCAACACAGAATGAGCATTTATAAGAGGGACTAAAAATTTATCAGAGATATTTCAAGAGGTACTGGAGCATACCTGCAGGGACTTTTTCTAAAGAAGTAAAAGGGTTCTGAGACCAATCCCAATAACTGTGTGGAGGTTCTCCCCACACACACACCATCGAGCAATGCTTGGGACACCAGCTGGATGTCCTACGATTCCACTCAATTCTGGCATTACCTGGAGATAGCAACAGATTCCAAAGGTAAAGAAAGGGCTCAGTCCCACAAGACCACCCTCCACTTCAGAAGCCAATTGCAAGGGCAAGTTAATACCTGTGCTTCTGACCAACCAACTATAGCTTGGAGGTCCCAAAGTTCCCCCATCAGATGCTAATTGCAAATCCACATTGTTACCTGTACTCCTGACCAACTGTGTATAAATCAGAGGTTCCCATAATCTCCCACCCCTTTGGATTTGGTTAATTTGCTAGAGTGAGTCACAGAACGCCGGGAAACATTTACTTATGTTTACCAGTTTATTATAAAAGGATGTGATAAAGGATATAGACGAACATCCAGATGGAAGAGACGCACAGAGCAGCATGTGGAAAGGCAGAGCTTCCATGCCCTATGTGGGCACACCATTCTCCCAGCACCTCCATGTGCTCACCAACCAGGAAGCTCTCTGAACCCTGTCCTTTTGGGTTTTCATGAAGACTTTATTACGTAGGCATGATTGATTAAATCATTGACCATTGGTGACCAATTCAACCTCCAGCCCCTCCCCTCCAGTCCCTCCTGTAGGGACTTCCTACAGGTAATTCATAAACCATCAAAAATACCTAAAAGGGGCCGGCCGAGTGGCGCGATGGTTAAGAACTGGCTTGGAATGCCAGAGGGTCCCGGTTTGGATCCCACATATGAGGGCCAGTGACACTGCCCTCTACAGCTAAGATGCTGAGCAGCCGCTCAACCTGGAGCTGGGCTGCCGTGAATCGCCGGCAACGACAGCGTGGGCTGCAACCCCTGTGGCAGTGGGTTGCCATGGGCTACCGTATGTAGTCAGCAGCCAGCGTGAGCGGCCAGCAGCCGCAGTGAGCGGCCTTCCAGAAGCCAGCGACTGATCTTCCTCCCCCGGGAAGAGCGCGATGATGGTGCCAACTTGGGCCAGTGAAGCAACGTCCTCCACGGCTGGACTGAGGAACAAAACGACGGCAACTTGTCTGTTCCCCTTCCCCCAATTCCCCAGCACTGTTCCCATCCCTCCAATTCCCCAGTAAAAATCTTAAAAAAAAAAATACTTAAAAGAATGTTTAAAAATAGGTTTTCTCCTATATTTAATATTTAGAAGAAGAGCTTAAGGTATCTGTAGGCCACTTAATCACTGAATATCTTTGCCTACAGGCCTCTAATTGAATACATTAGCCATTGATAATCTTGTTTAAACCACCACTGTTTTAATGCTCAATCTTTGAAGATTTCTGTTCCTCTAGAACAGTGGGTCTCAACCTTCCTAATGCCGCGACCCTTTAATACAGTTCCTCATGTTGTGGTGACCCCCAACCATAAAATTGTTTTTGTTGCTACTCTATAACTGTAATTTTGCTACTGTTATGAATCATAATGTAAATATCTGATATGCAAGATATATTTTCATTGTTATAAATTGAACATAATTAAAGCATAATGATTAATCACAAAAACAATATGTAATTATATATTGTGAAATATTTATTTCTAATTACAAATAAATGAAATTTTGTCTTGAAGCATGGAGACGGATAGAGGAGCGGTGTCTCGGTTTCTAAGACCATCGAAAATATGTGTTTCCGATGGTCTTAGGCGACCCCTATGAAAGGGTGGTTCGACCCCCAAAGGGGTCGCGACCCACAGGTTGAGAACCGCTGCTCAAAAAGGTAGTATTGTAAGTGCTACATTTCATTCCCGTGTGATCTTCCAGTACTGGCACTCTTGAATTGTTTCAAGTCATTTTAAACATAGAATTTATTATCACTTGGGATCCAATCGTACTGAGTTATCAGTTCTTTGAAGGAATAAATTTGGGAGAGGTGTGGGAGAAAGGAATACATTTTATAAAATGTTACAATGAATCTCACAACTGGCCTTTGACTAGCTGGCATTTTAAGTATACTTTTTAAAAATTTGTAATGTACAGCCAAGGTCCATCTTGGAGATTGGCTACTAGAGCTAAGCCTTCGCTTACAACTCACTCTTTCTTCCTTCCTTTCCTGATCAATTTCACATAATCACTTTTTCAGTTGAACTGAAAATCAAGTCATCTTACCAAAAAAAATGTTATAGTTTTTGTTGAAATTTCATTGAATCTACAGATTAACAGGAAAAATGGATATAGGACACAGTATTATAGTATGACATCTTCTGATCAAGCCTTTTGACATCTTCTATTAAGTTTTATATTTTTCTGTATATTCTACTTCCTGTTGGGATTTGCTATTATTGTTGTTTTGACTCATGATTATAATAATTATACCTATGATATTTTAAAACTGGTTTTCTTTGGAATATAACAATACTATTGATTTTTATACATTTTGTAATGGCTGCTCCTATTATTTCTAATTGCTTTTAGGTTGATTCCCTTAGGTTTTCCAGGTGTATTATAATGTCATCTGCACATAATTATAATTTTTCCACCTCTTTTTTAATATTTAAACCTTTTATTTATTTTGTTCCTTTGACTAATTATACTGTCTATCAAACAGTTATCATTTTTATGAGAAAAACCTGGAACTAAGAAAAGTTCTCTGAATCGGCAGAAAATAATATATAGGCAAACAATTTTACATATTTTATTATTCAGATCAAGGTGTAAATATTGTATGATGTTTTCAAACTACCCACCCCAAATGCTTTGAACCAAAACTTGCTACATAAAAAGCTTCCCAAAGTTTTAGTTTGTTTAAACATCCCATATCCGCATTGCTCTGAAAGAACTTACAACAGAGTCTGGCTTCCAGATGGCAGCCTGGCTTTTTCCTTAATTACCATTTCAGGTAAAGGTTCAAGGCAGACTTTTCATGGGACTTCAGACATATCATTTTCCCAAGGAGTTTATTACAACAAACTTTGGATCAGAAAAACAAGAATCACACATGTAAAGATAAATAAGAACACAGTCCTCTGAAAATCCAGAATACAGACCACAACACAAAAACAATGTAACGGGAGGAGGAGAAGGAAAGACACGGAGTAAGAGACAGCTTTCCTAGGGATGCTGCATCCTTTGCCAGGCATTGGCTCCTGTTCTTTAACAATAGGTGT